ATAAGTTATTTCAAATCAATTAAATATATTTTAAATTTGTTTTAGTTTCTGATACAACAAATACAAATAGATATAAACACAGTTAACTCTAGATGTTAAGCATATAAATGGATCCAAAAATCAAAAAGTTTGCAAACCACTGACCTATGTCATGAATCTATGTGTTCTGGAATAAAGTTTTCACTATTCTTTAATACAGTCGTCCCTTGGTATCCACAGGGGATTGGTTCCAGGACATCCTCCTCTACCCAACTGCCCCCTCCAGGATACCCTAATCCANATATCTTCCTATATACTTTATCTCTAGATTACTTGTAATACCTAATACAGTGTGAATGCTATGTAAATAGTAGTTATACTGTAGTTTTTTATTTATATTATTTTCTATTATTGTATTGTTACTTTATTTACTTTTCAAATATTTTCAATCCGAGATTGGTTGAATTAGTGGATGCAGAACCTATGGATGCAGAGGGCCAACTGTAGATAGTAGTAAGTCCTAATATTGGCAGTTCCTAAATATAGACCTTATTAACAAAGGGAATTACTGACTCATTTTACATTTTTTCCTTTATTTAAGCGATACCACATACTACCATTTCATATTTTTAAATATTAAACAACATAACCAAACATCCCTCAAAGAATTTGTGATTTCAAGTCTTACTTTAAAGGGAAATATGCAAATACCAAAGACAGTATTATGGGAAGTAACTGTAGTTTTAAAAAATGAATAAACTAAACACTAGCAAAATAATGACCCATTTCTTTTGAGGGGGAGGGTATTTAAGCTTTAGACCCCTCCAGAGCCAACCTACACGAACAACTAAATTCCCCAAAGGAAAAGCCTCAGCTACACTAATTTCAGAAAAATCAAGCCATTCTACTCTTCATAAAACCTATATCAAGATATGCTTCATAATTATGTAAAATGTTCACCAAAATATTAAGTATGAGACTATATAAATCGTTTTTCTTTTTCTTTTAAATTTTATACAGCCAAACCTTTCATTAAGAATTTTACACAATAATGGCACCACCACTGCCAAACATGCTCTTTTGAGAGATCCTCAATAAGATGTCAGGACTGAGATATTAATATTACAACAGAAAACCTTCATTTATGCATACTTTAAGAGTTCTGACAATTTTACTTCTAAATATCTTTTACACATGACTTCAGAATTTCCAACTCTTAGAAGGCAAAATGAAAATTTTTCACTGAAGGTTTTTCTTCCACTTTTATTTCTGAATTAACCTAGAAGTCAAAATAATCACAGCTTAAAAAAAAAAAAAAGGTAAAAATAAGCAGGGGAAAAAAAAAACAGAAAAAAAAATCACAGCTAGAGTTCTAAGAATCTGATGAATCTGAAAGAGTTAACATGATGTACTAAATGCTACTATAGCTCACTTCTACCCCACCCCACACACAGCTTGATGATGGAACACACTTTAGTATTAAGAATAAGACATGATAAGCAAAACAAGGGTAAGAAAAATATAGAAACAGATGAGATGTCCTAAGTAATCTGATAAAAAATCAACTTGGACAGGCTGTGAATATGGACAGAATAAAGAAGAAAAGCATTTAGGGAAACAGAAAGATAAAAAATCTTAAAACCTTAAGATACAAAACATAGAGATAAGTCAATCTCAATCTGCAGACCTTTTACTCTGCTGAGATTTTTCAAGATTTTCTTTGCTCACAAAGCATCCTGAGTTTTATTCCCTGGTGCCCATCCTTGGGTCTTATTCTAGAATTATCAAAAAC